CTTGCATCCGTATTCATAAACGAAAGACTACGGACATCGACCATGACGTCAATTTGGATTTAATGAAACAGGACATTTATTCTTGTTGTTCTGAAGAGTACTTTAAAATACATTAAATAAAGTGAAACAAATCGAGAAAGTAAACCTCTAATATGTTTTCTTTGTCAAACGCTCTCAAACAACAATCAAGACAGTTTTTAAAAATATTACATAACTTATTGTTACGAATTTGAAGCTGCATATACGGCGATGTATTTAGGACTATTTAAATAATAACATATAAGCTGGAGACATTGTTTGTTAATTTTCAATTCAGTCAATCACGTGAACTGTACTTTACGGTATTATGAAGTTTTTCATAAAATATAATTCTAAAATTTCATTTAGTGAATAAAGGACATCTATCTATATTATTTATACTTAATAGTGAAAATGAGCAATTTCTTTCGTTTATACAAAGTAAGATTGATGAATAAAATGGAATTATTGGTAGATATTTTACTTGTTTAAATAATAGTTATATCAAGAAATCGCCAGTTGAATTGGAAATCTCAAGGTCTAAAAGTATACATAACATAGCTGTTTATTGACACATTTCTTTTAATAATTACCGGTAAAACTTGCTTCAATGAGGTAGATTTCGTCAACAAGGCAGATGCTTCCAGCTAAAAATGTCTTTTTGATATATCTTAAGTTCTACTTTAGTAAGAAACGTCCCATAACATATGTATTCATTAATCAAAGCAACTCCACCTGTAGCTTTCTGAGAGATTCATAATACCGTCTACCTGGTGGTTGCCAAGATGAAAATGAAGCTAAAGAAGCATTAAACGACTGGGGAAACAGCATTACAAAGTTCCAATACAGCCTTCCTTCGAGATACTGACAAACTCAACGAATTCATGGTAACTCTCAGCATCACGTTCCAAGACTTACAGTATCTGTGCAAAGAATAGGAAACCGCTCTGGAGGACAGCTAGAAAGGGATCAAAGTGGCACTAACTACGACGTGTCAGGAGGTTGTAGAACGCATGAAGCATCAATATAAGAAATGTATCTATATGGAAACCCTAGACAGGAGTCAATAAAAGAAGAACAAGAAAACAGCAGTTAACATCAGCTGAAGATGAACAGTGGAAGTCAATGCACGAGCTGAATACACAGAATCAAACAGGTAAGTGAAGAAGAGCATTAGAGCTGACAATCTGAAATACATGGAAGACCCAACCGCGACAGCGGAAAAAGCTAAAACAGAAGGAAATATGAGACAACTATGTGATATAATTGGGAAACTAGCGGCAAATATAGTAAAGCAGAGAGACCGGTCAAAGGCAAAAAAAGAAAGCCAGAAAATGAGATTAAAGAAAAGAGGAACATGTGGGTAGAAAATTTTGAGGAACTCTTGGGATGACCAGTAACACTGGAACCACTGGACATAGAAGCTGCACCTATACACCTACCTGTAAATGTCGCTTCACCACCGATCGAAGGAATCAGGATGGCTAGTCATCAGACAAATCAACGGTGGTAAAGCAGCGTGACTTGACAATATACCAGCCGAGGCGCTGAAGTCAGAAATTGAAGTGCAAACATGCTCTACGTTTTATTTTGGAAAATTTGAGAGGATGAACAACTGCAGACAAACTGGAGAGAAGGATGTCTCATCAAGATACCAAAGAAAGGAGATCTGAGCAAATGTGAAAACTAAAGAGGCATCACACTACTATCGGTACCAGGAAAGGTTTTCAACAGAGTGTTGCTGAACCACATGAAAGACGCAATAGACGCCTAACTTTGAGCTCAACGAAGCTGAAACTTGGAAAACTACTACAACCTTCATCAAGATATAACACCTATTTACAAACAATTTTCCACGTAAGATACTCAATGTCCGTTGACTGGATACCATCAGATACAGCCTATTATAGAATAGAACAAACCAGGAAATTAAGAGAAGACGTTGGCCGTGGATAAGACATACATTACAAAAATCATTAAACCGCATCACGAAGCCAGTGATAACCTGGAATCCCGAACAGAAAAGAGGAATGCCAAAGAACAAACTGCTTTGAGAATTGGAAACAGACATCAAAATGATAAATTGTGACTGGAAAGGACTGGAAAGTATCGTCCAGGACAGAGTTGGACGGAGAATGCTTGTGAGCGGCCTGTGCTCCTCCTCGACGCGTAATATGAGTAAGTAATTAAAGCCTTTTTGTTGAATTTTAGTTCTATAGAAATTCATTATTGTCCAGTGTAAGTATTGGGCGATAATTTTAATTAAGCCAGGGGAAAAGTGAGGCAGGAAGAGTAATAGAGACATTAATCCGTTTATATAAAATTTAAGTATTCAAACTCTAATTTAATTTGTAAGTGATAGTAACTTTCATAACTGTCACGCCTACTCAACGAAAGACATCACTGGAAAATTAGAACAATCCTTTCTTTAAAATATATTCTAAAAAGTATTGACATCTTACTAACGTCTTTACATATTAAATACACGCTTGACTAGATCACTTAAAAAAAGTCTCAATTAGATTTTGAATGTTTAATTTATTTCAGTTATGCGGTGTATGCACATGTTTTTATGTATGATGGTCAGAATTATGGAAATAAACAGTTTCTGTCCAACTATCATTGTTATACTGAATAAAAAATTGGCTAGTGTTTCTGAATATTTGCATAGGAATAAATGTTACTAAACTAATTCTCTATGTTTTCATTATTGAAATTAGGCTAATGATAATATTCACAACAATATAAGCTAGTTAAACTCGTTATTTCATGTTCTCATGAAATATTTTTCATCACTTTTTTCCCTTCTACTTCGTTTACTTCTCAACAGCTGTTAGTATTCTGTTTTTACCAAGCTAGAATTTATACATTTTTTCCTTTCTTCCTTAAACTTGTACTGACATTGGTAGGATTGAAAGAAATTTTGAATGAAATTAGCTATTACTATTAATCTCATGATATTTATAAATATCAAGCAAACTTACTTAATCGTTTATTATTAAACGTACATTTCTATTGAACTGTTTTTTTTAATTATTTATTAATATTTATATGCGCACTGCTGTGGAGTCCCATGCTGAGATAAAACAACCGTCCAGTGCTTCCAGTGCTTTTCATTGTTGGTCTAACACTGATTCATTCATGATATGAATCTAAATTCAACAATCTCCACAACCCGATACTGATAATATTTATATATATATATATATATATATATATATATATATATATATATATATATATATATATATATATATATATATATATATATATATATATATATATATATATATATATTTTAAGATTTATTTTACAATAAACTGACATTAGGTGTTTATTATCAAAATACCAGTTTAAAATTGAAGTATAAGAATATAGTTGATGGAAAACAGTAACCTCACTTGGGAAATGAAATTTTTCTACTTTACAAACATTATTACACTAAAAATTATTATTTTCAAAACAATAACCGTATATCATTTTAACATGTCAATTTTAGTAGTTGAGATCATGAGTCAGTTGAACCTAAACCACTGTAGAAAACCTGAAAGCACTTGACGGCCGTTTCGGCTTAGTATGGGACTCCTCATCAGTACTTATCCGTGATCTTGCCCCTCGAGATTTGAACTTAGAACCTATCGCACAATCGCCTAATTACTAAACCATTGAGTCGGCTTGCAGAGGTGTTAATATCTAACTTCAACCAATCCACAATGTTGCACCACCGTACACCATTGTCATTAATGAGTTGCTATCTCACAACAGATCTGGTTGAACTCCACTGATCACTATTTCTCACTAGAACTCCAGGAAATACCTCTTGAAGCCAGTCACTAGTAAGCAAATGTTGATTAGTATCAGGAAGGGTTTTGTGGATACTATAGTAATTTCTATAGTTGAGATCATGAGTCAATTGAAGCTCAATTTTAGACGATTTTGATATTATCCGTATGTTACATAAACTGAGGAAAAAAATACTCGAATCTTTTCGTTTTTTTAAACATAAACTGAAATGAACAAGGAATCTATTTTATCAATGATTATGATATCAAAATGATATTCTAAATACTGTGAAAATTCAAGCTAATTTTCAAAATTACTTTCATTTAAATTTGTTTATATTACTCACAGAGTTTATGATTGTTTCAATTAATCATTTACAAATGTAATTAAAAAACTATCAATGTCTAATATTAGTGTATGAGTGAAATAATTCTAAATTGTAGGTTTATAGATGATTTATTGGATGTGAATTTTCACTAACAATGTAAATGTTTGGTTAAAGTGTTAGTTTAATTTCAACTTCATATTTTCACATTCTTCCTAGTACTTCAGTTCATGCTTCATATTTGCTCACTTTTGTTTTACTATTTTCAACAAGAATATAATCAAATATTTGAAGATTTGTTCTCTTCTCTATTTCTTGTTAATTCGATAAAACACTTACATAATTGTTGGGATACGAAATTTTAGGTAATCAATTATTCACTAAATAATTCTTTAGTAAACCTTCAGAGTATGTACTATGTGATATGGTCTTAACTGCTTAGTGATTAGTATCGTCATTAACATTGAACACATATCTTACTAGCAGTCCTTGAATGGCATGAAACCTTGTACCTAAAACTTTTATCATTTGTCTCCAATAAACTAACTTGAAACAAATGGTACTAATATATATCAAGCCAGTTATTCTAACAGTTATGAACCAACAAGGACCTTTTACTACTCAGTTAGAGATTAAAGTTTTAATTTATTATACATTCACTTTATAATTAAATGGATGTGCAACAAACTACTTACGAGTATTCCGTACCTAATATACAACATTTTAGTTACAAATTCATGCTAATAAACGTACAGCTATAAATTGGTGTTGATATACTTTGAAGAAGATAGAAATATTAAAGGGAAGAATATCGGTGCAAAATAACTTATACACATTTTCTACTAACTTTTTCTTCTTTTTACATGTTTTTCAGGGCAACTGGAGCTACCTTAGGTGTGTTGGCTATATTACTTGTTTTATTCCTATTACTTTTGTGTCTTCCATGGCATAAGTGTGATCGATACTGTTCTTGCTGTCGTTGTTGGCTTTTTAGTTCAAATGAGAATATTCACAGACAGTCAGATGATGCATTTCGTGCAGCCAGAATGCCTGGAGAGTACCGTGAGTTTCTTGTTTCCTAGCATACAGTAGGTGTTTTTTTCCATGTTCTTTGGTAAACTATGTTTTTTCTTTAATAGAGAAGAACATAACCTTGAGGTCAGCAAACAGTAGTGTTTTACTGAATAATCGGGGCAACTATTCATGAATTTATCACTCACAATTGTTTCACCCAGGTCAATCTATGTGACAAGCCTCAAATATTATTGAACACGTATCCTGTTTTTCATTGTATAGTATTAAACACTAATCTCTTGTACGAAAGAGACCATTTACGTTCAATATATTTTGGGAAATATTAATATTTGAAACGATTTTTAACTTTAAATGAGGTTGTGTTATTGTTATAATTCTTAACAGATGATGTTGAAATAATCTGTCTACTTATGAGTAGTCAACAGAGTCAATCACAAGGGATTTCATTTTAGCATATAATTTGTAACATTCAATCTTTTACAGATTTTCATCTAGCTTGTAGGTATCTTGTATGCTGGATGATTATGAGAAGTAGCATGTGTGTGAAAGGATTTACAAAAGAAACAGGGGATGAGAAATGACAAGACAACTTAGTAAACACATATATTATGCACTTATGTTTTATAATGAAAATAATTGATAGAATTTGATAATAACATAGGCGTAGGATAAAAACAATCTGATAATGAGGAGCTAAAATTTGATAGCATAAGACTGAAGAATAAACACAGGTAATTCACATGAGTAAAATGAAATTTGATAGTTAAAACAGAAGAATAACCCTTTGAATTTCAAATACTATCAAACAATAACTTAGATTATTCTTGAAATAAAATATTATAGGATAGATCACTTTTTTGTATCACTAGTCTTCTGGGTAAATTGAATAACTTTTTATACTTGAACTGTGGTCACTCACAATCAAAAATGATTATGCAGACTTTTATTGTTTATAAGGATTTTTTAGTTAGGTTACATGAAGTATACCACTATCCAGCGACAGAATTTTGTTTATCTGTTTCGAGTGTAACTTCGCAGACAACTATCTCATATTCTGATCGCCATTATTTTTTCTAACAGTTTAAAAATTCACATAAATGTGCAAATGATCTTCAACGGATTCTACCATGATACATCCAGAATAATGATTCACAGGAATCGTTGAATTTAAGGCAAATTTATTCTCTTTTATTATTTGTTTGATACACTGTAGTAATATAGTTAAAACACAATCGATGAACATTTAATCACTTCGAAATCTATTTTTAGGAATGAATAAATATCAATAGCTAAGAGTCAAATATTCACTATTGTGTTACATAATATTTTTTCTTTATCGAAAAGAATTTATAAGTTATACTATTCAAACATTAAAATCGTTGTCAGTAAGCGCTACATAGGTTTGTATAGAATATTTTTATGTGTTATATGTAGATTTAGTATTTATATAAAGTTGAATTTTCTGATCAATAATCTATTTTCTTGGTATTTAAGTAGATATTAATCATTATGAAAATGAGTTCTAGTGGATATCATATGTTACCTAGATATATATTTATTTAACACTTCTGTAAAAGAAATTGTCCTTTCATGGTAATTGTACAAAGTGTAACATTTCAATAATGAAACGAGATACCATAATGAATTATATGTATATTTCCGATTAGCGATTTTTTGGTAAGTTAGTTTTCTACGGGGCGGGGTCGACAACTTTATGCCCCTCTCCAGAGAGGGGCTCCAGGTGGAGAAGCCAAAATCTGGGGACTGGAAGTATGGTATAAAGTGGACAGCTAGGATGCAGCTGAATAATCTAGACTTCACTGATTATTTGGCCCTTCTAGCGCACACGCAACAACAAATGCAGGAGAAGACGACCAGTGTAGCAGAAGCCTCAACAGCAGTAGGTTTCAACATACACAGAGGGAAAAGCAAGATTCTCCGATACAATCTAACATGCACCAATCAAATTACAATTGACGAAGATTTGGAAGATGTAAAAACCTTTACATATCTGGCCAGCATCATTGATGAACAGGGTGGATCTGATGCAGATGTGAAGACGCGAATCGGCAAAGCAAGAGCAGCATATTTACAACTGAAGAACATCTGGAACTGAAAACAATTGTCAAACAACACCAAAGTCAGAATTTTCAATACAAATATCAAGACAGTTCTACTGTATGTAGCGCAAACTTGGGGAACTACGAAAGCCATCATCCAGAAGATATATGTGTTCATTAACAGTTGTCTACGTAAAATACTTCGGGTCCGTTGACCGGACATTATTAGCAACAATCTACTGTGGGAGAGAACAAACCAGATCCCAGCAGAGGAATAAATTAGGAAGAAGCGCTGGAAGTGGATAGGACACACATTGAGGAAAGCACTCAATTAAGTCAGAAGATAAGCCCTCACATGGAATCCTCAAGGCCAAAGGAAAAGAGGAAGACCAAAGAACACATTACATCGCGAAAATGGAGATGGACATGAGAAAAATGAGCAATAATTGGATGGAACTGGAAAAGAAGGCCCAGGACAGAGTGGGTTGGAGAATGCTGGTCGGCGGCCTATGCTCCATTGGGAGTAACAGGCGTAAGTAAGTAAATAAATAAATAAATAAATATATATATATATATATATATATATATCAAATTTGATCTGTTCATCATTATTCATTGAGAAATAAAATCTAATCTCTTTTTACTTTCTCTTTTTATCTTCATAGCTATGCCAATGTTTGACTTCATCCCACCATCTGCTTTGCCTAAATTACCAAACTACGAAGAATGTTTAAATACTGGGCCACCAGCAAATGACGAAGCTCCACCTCCGCCAACTCCACTTTCTTTTTATTCAGCTAATTCAAATGGTCAATCAGCTTTACGTCTTACTATCCACAGTCAACCAGATTTAGTTGCTCACAATCACAGTTCCCAAGCACTTGCTAGTCCTTTATCCACACCTCCACCAACTTATTCGTCGACGTGTTTGCAAAGGCCATCAACAACGAGTCGAACAGGTGAAGATACATCTAGAATAGTTGAAAACTCATCTCATACAACATCAAGGCAAATATCGGTGGACCGTTAATTAATTGTTATCTTAATTTTTTTTTCCTAATTACGGTTTTGTACTCTCAAAATAATGGATTACCTGTCTCTCCCTGTTACACCTTGTACCATTCTTTCAGTTGTGGGCGTTTTGATTTTTTCTTGTTTTAATTACAAATATAGAGATGAAAATATATTTCTGTGATCATTGAACAATTATGATAATATACTACTACAACTTTGATGAGTAGTTATAAATCTTAGAGATAAAATAATCAGTTCAGATTTTTTTCTAGATATTTTTTTACCAACCTTTCACATTCTTTCTCTTTTGAAATATCAAGAATTTTCTGATAATAAATAACACAAACATATACTTTTCTGGTTGTCTGCTGTTATATAAGAATATTATATACATTTATAGATATATGTATCAAACTCTTATTCGTTCTGACAAACAATATTTTCAAATATTTCCTTTGTACCATCAGGAAACATATCAAAGCCAATTTCATAACTGTATCTCTGTACGTGTTTAGCGGGGTTCCCTGGACATTTTCTACTTATTGTTGTCGCTTGCTATTAAAATGTGAGGGAGGTTTGTCGAGGATTTATGCTGCATCGAACAGTAATTCCCATGTTTATCGGATCTGTAAATGAAATAGTACCGAGCATTTACATAGGTGGGATCCGACATTTATTGAGATTAAATTATTACATAACAGAAAACCTACTGAATATGAAGTCTTCTTAAAGAATATAATCGTTATTTACAGGTAAAACTCCTCTAAATACCTTTAAATTTTAAAAACATTTTAGGAAAATTCCATGGCTTCTCTTGATATTACGTTACGAGTATAAAGCTGTTTCTAAGTCTCTAAACTTGAGTAACAAAATTTTCAGTTGCATAAGGAATTTTAGGATCCAACTATCCAAGACTCAGCTTAAATGAGTATATATATGCTCCTCAATATAATACTTCCTCAAGATTTTCAACACTCAAAGCTTGGTCACAGATAACATGAACATGATGGTAGACTAATTATGACTATGGATTTAAATCCTATAGTTTTCAGTCAGTCATCTTTATGACGATGTTTACTATGACTGTCTATCTTTTCAGATGCTAGATTAACTGTATCATTTAGATTTACAGTGTAACTGTGATATTTCCATGATTAGAAAACGAACGTTTTCTTACTTCAAACAAGTTATATTTTTCTGAGAACAGATAACTTAATAAAGTTACTTTATTATTTTTATGTCATCTTCCTTTTACACTATCCAGAATATTCTCTTAAGATTCATCCTTCTCAGGTAAAAGGCTCGGTTTTTTGAAATAAATAAAAAAACTATTTTGCGAAATTTGGATCTTTTATGATGGATGATAATCGTTGACATAACAACCATATGTAAATCAGACTAACAGTTTCTAAAACTGAATAAGTAAATTTTAACCGTTTTATAGTCAAAGACTTTTTAAATTCCTACTAGTTTGGAATTTTTGAATATACTAAAAGATTTAATCAAATTGATTATGATTTGTTAATAATGCAGGCCAAACGCTTAATTTCTATGAATGTTGTATTATATGAGATCAATGGATGTCTCTGACAGATTTCATGTGATGATTATTTATATTGGTAATTTGTAGTGAAATAAAAGTGCAAACTGTCAGAATGATTGAAAGACAGGAGTAATTTATTTCGATCAGTAGCTGAAGTTCAGACTCTAGAGTTAAAACTATTGATAAAAGATGGTGATCATTAAATGTAACACCATTTCTTTGTAATTGTAACAATTTCGGAACCAAGTTTTATTTGTAGAATATGTAACTAATGTTAATCCTTCTTACTTATGAACTAGTGAAAGGTTATGTGCATAATTCATTGCCAACTGTTAACGAAATTTATAATCTGGTTTAAATTGTAAATTATTATTTGGGATATTTTCTTATCGACCGTTTATACTTAGGATTTAATGAGTCACTATGTGTACATCAATACTGGAGTGTACCTACATCTAACTTATGGGTACGGAGTTGAACGAGTTACACTCTAAACCATCTAAACAATAAACTGGTTGAGAAAAACTTAATATCTCTGGATTGAAATTCTATTCTGACTGAGCCCTTAATTTCGATCATAAAAGTCTTTCGGATTTTCTAAATGATATTAATCATATAAGATTGTCTGGAATTTAAGTTTACTAAAAAACGGTGTATTGAATCATATATTATGTTTACTAAAGCAACCTAAGGGTATTCGATAAGATATTTTAATTTGTTAGCGTGTACATTACACCTTTTTAACAGAAACAACGAGCCTTAAATTACACCGGAAAAGTTAGCCATTGAGTTGACTTAAAAAGTTTTTTATTACGTTTCACAATTCAACGATTCTGAACGTTCCTATCACGCTGAAGTAGATAAAGTCAAAACTTTTGATGAAATTTTGTTCTCTGAGATGGATAGTTTGGTTGTGAAGCTTTCATTGTTATTCTGAACGATATCCTCAACACAAATTTCAGTTAGAAGTGAAGTATTCGAATCTCTCCACATGTTATTCACAACTTGTCCTATAGACCTCGATTTTAATTGGTTATTGTTGACCTTCACTCTATCATTGTTTACTTCTTCATTTTGATTGTATTTCCCATTGATTTAATTTTTGGTCCTATATTTATCCATGATTTTTTTGACTGGTTGATAGATTGTAATAATTTCAATGTGTTTTTTGATTGCTGATTGACGTTAGTGTCAAGCTTCTAAAACTTCTCTGGTGTTTTTGGAATTCACTCTATTCAAAATCTTCACATTTTTCCATTTCGACACCATCTCATAATGTCAAAGCGAAATTCAAGCACAAATATTATAGAAAACCTTGATTTAGACACTTAGTGGAATTTAAAGGAAAGAGGTTAACCAAACGCATCAGGAGACTATTTAAAACAGACAGAAAGTGAGCACGAATTCTTTCAACTGACAATGTAACAAGTAAAACGAGTATTATGTCACAAGTTTGATGTGTTTAAACGTCGTAGTTTCATGAATGTCAGACATCTTTTATGGAGATGTATTTGGAAATGAAGTAAAATTGATGTTTTCACCGTGAGCTAGATGTCATTTAATATAAACACACCACTTCCACAGGAAATATGTTACATTTTCTATTGTGAAATTTACATGATTTTACAACATACTAACTTTTCTAAAGTACCTGAGTATTTTACGTAAATTTCAATTTTGATTACACTTAATAACTCTTTTTTACAGGATACATGATCATTACAATTTGTATTAGGCCGAAAATACTACCTTATAAAATAACATCATCTTTGATGATACATTTTGCATGCATCATTATGATTTGAACTGCACTCAGAGGGACCTGACATACACGAAATTGATCACCACCTAGTAATCAATCAGTTGTAAATACATTCCGTTCCTACAAAAAGTCAATCGCAACTCGGATAGCTCGGTGATCACTTCTCTGACTGTAGGACTGGATGATAAAGAATCGGATCCGTAAAGCAGTTTCAGTTCCGTCAAGATTACAGATACATCTTGCTGATAAGTGCCAAGTATCATGAAACCTAGGTTCAGAATTTCCTGTTGACTACCTCCAACTACCATCTTGTATCAAAAAACAGAACATCATTTATAAATCTTCTATCAGAATATATCTGTTCAACTCATATACTATTGTTTCAATTTTTTTGTCAATAATCTTTCAATAGTGGTGTATATTCTTCTGTTATACTTTCACGATTTGTATTTACATACATAAATTATAATTCATATGTATAATCATTAGTATTAGTGAATATAATCATATTTGTTACTGCCAATTAACCGCTTTTATTAGTAAAATTATTATTATTACTATTATTATTATTATTATTATTATTATTATTATAACTATGTGTGCTGATAACTGGTCATATTGGTCAGATTTAATAAAAATCTATTACTTAAAAACACACAAGTAATATCTATAATTTAATGTGCATTTAGTAGTCTAACTGTACATTTTTTGGATTCATAATTTAATTATTTTCTAGTCAAATTATACATTATTATCTTATAATGAATTAGAGTAAATATGATTAGGTTAAATGAAATATGATTATTAGAATTTTATTGATTTAATTCATATTAATCAGTAATAATTATTGATTTTTCCTATTTCGATCAATAATGTATGAGTATATGATTAAAATGGTAACAAAAATAAATTATTATCTAATTTTGTTTTATTTATTTAACGCTAACCAAAAAATATTACTGAAATCATTTAAAACTCCGCCTGGAACCCCTCTAGGGCAACCGCTAGTCCCAAGGAAGATGGTTGGGCATGGGATTATCGACCTTATTCCATACAAAACTAACTTGCTAAATATCGCAATTATTCAAAATTATTTGATTTTATTTGGTTAAATATTTGAAAGTTAGTTTTATTCAATAAATAGATAAAAGAGAATTTAGTGAAGAAAAGTTTCTTCTTGACGAAATCATTTGTTTAAGCTGTATATTCATATATATATACATAGTTATATGGAAAATATATGATTATAGAGAGATAGAAAAGATTGCATCATAAATTGATTCTAAATTAAATATCAAATGAGGTTACGTACTAATCAAGGGGTAAAATAGAAAATGATTTATGGGTCAGATAATTGTCCAGTTGACAGATATGAAGAAAAAACTCATTTGATTATAAGGGTTTCGAATATATTTACGATGTAACCTTTTCTATCTGTCTATAGACATATACTGTCCATATAGCTATACCTACGAATGTATAGGTTAAGTAAATGATTTCGTCAAAATGAAAAGTTTCTTCACTTGGTGTTATTTACTTGTATATTTCCATAGTTATCTAAGACTATAATTGATCAGTCTCATGTCGGCATATGTGCATCCTGTCCGGACTGCCTCGATATTGCCTGAAGTCACGAGCTTTATAAGAAGAGACGGATATTGGCTAGCAGTGGAATCATAGAGTGAACATCAACTCTGACGAGTCTGAAATAGGACGAAACGCACGTCTTGGATTCCACTGCTAGCCGCTATTCATCTTTGCTAAAAAATTTCTTCGCTGAATTCTCTTTAGTTTTATTCCTATATGTCAAATTGTTTATTAACAAGAAATGTTTGTTTTTATTAATTTCAATATTCTTTTTTTCTTGTTAAAATGGAATCTTCAATGAGCACCTTACTGGAGTAAAAATATCTTAGAAAAGACTCAGATTATGATATTATAATAAATATAAGTTTTTTATGATGAATAATATTAAAACGGCCCAAATTCAAAGCCTACCAAAATGCTTAGAAGAGTTTATCTTAAGTTGGAATAACTTGGTAGATAATT